AAGTTCACGTAAATCACTTGGACCCTGCAGTCCACACTATAAGGTTGGGGGCGGGGCTTCGGGATGGCCATCCAGGAGTTTAAGGTCATCTCTAAATCATGTTGGGGTGGAGCTGGACTCTAAAGGTGGTGTCAGAGGTGGATGTTGTCCAAGTACAACACTGGACACTCAGTTTTCTCATGTGTTTGGCATCGATGTCCTATCGGAGCACCAAACTGTGTTTAAAATGCGTAGTTATTAATCTGAGATGAAGAATCCGGATGCAACCCTCTCTCCTTTATTTACCCGCGGACTGAACTGAAATAATTCATTGACTTATCTCCACTTTGCCAGCAGCTGATCGAGCAGCGCCATCCTTCAGGACATTTAATGTTCACAAAAACAACACGTGAGGTTTCATGAAGCGATGCTCACCTTAAATATCGCCACACACGCGGATGTGTAACCGAAATGAACCCCAATCGCCGACATGCTGCCAGCCCTCAGCCCACAAGACCGACAAACATGGATCCGGTTCTCCTCACCTTTGAACCGGAAGAATTTCCTCTTGGAGTACTTCAAAACAAAAGCATGTACTGATGTTTATTTTTTTTACTCTAATATCATTGTTTGTATTCATGATTTGTTTTGTATCTTTGTGGCTGTATGATTGTAGTTCCAATTAACCGGTCATATCTTTGAAGAAACGGCGACAAACGACAAACGACCGTTTCCGTTTGATGTACGTGAAACTGAAACAAATCAAACGTACATGGCGGACACGCTTTGATTCTCCGTTTGCACTAACTCTTTTATTACCGGTATTTGTAAACATATTTCAGACTATAACTAAGTACGTGTGTCAATGTCTGGTACGTGACTACGTCATTATGCTGGGAGGTAGCTGGGGGCGGAGCCTGATGCATAAAGAATTATGTCTGTTAAAAAAAAGGACACTGTTGTTAAGATAAAAGCATTTATGTACAAAGTAAATAAACCTCTCGGTCATCCTATTTATGAGGTTATGTGTTACTGACCGAGCAACAGTGAATCAGTCTGCATGTCCTGAGGAAACGATTGACTTTACTGACCGAGGTCATGATCACCTGTTGTTTACAGCTGAACAGTGGCTGCTATCGTTCCTGCTGAGGTAAAGACATGAGACGATGTGGACAGATTATGTGAACACGTAAAGTTCTAGATCAGCACCAGTAGCTTAACTGAGAACATCCCAATTTCATCCAAAAGAGAGACTGACGGACTGTGGACCGTCTCTGCGTCATGACTGTAGCTGAATCAGGAAACAGACGAGAGGAAAGGGTCATTACAAGCTATGATAATTGCCTATAAGTAATGGGACTACATACATATAGTTTATGTAATATGAGCGCAGCACTTAGATGCATTGAACTGAACCTCAGTCTCGATTTTTTTACAGAGTTTAAAAACAGCTCGATCAAGCTCGGGACAAATACTCGCGTACATGTAGTACAGCTTTAAAAAGGGCTGTGTCCAGCCTGCCTCTTCTGAAGCGTCTGTAATGATGGGCTTCAAACACTGAAAGTTGTGGAGCTAAGAAGCGTTTTAGCTTCCTGGGAGAAGAAGCCTGGCTGGATGATCCAGGACAAACAGCCAGGAAGTGGTGTCTGATTATCAGCTATTGATTGTCCTTATTGTACTTCAGTCTCTTTATTATTAAATGATCGCTGAACAACTTAAAAACCTTAAATTACCTGATAATCACGAAGTAAAAGTAAAGATAAAAATGTCTGAACATTTCTGACTCCCATCTGTTACTGCAGCTCTGCCAGACTGCACAGTTTTTGTTGTTGGGAAAATGAGAAATCCCCCTGGAATACGAGCTGCTGCTGTGTGACAGCTAACAGTTCCTATTGAGTTGATATAAGTCACAGTAAACATACAATAAATCACATCAGAGCGCTTTTAAAACCTCGGGCTGTCACGGATAATGGAAAAATGCAGACTCAGTCGCGGAGCTCTGGGTGCAAAGTACACAGTGCGTTTATTTACAGTGCCCCAAAAAACAGTTTCAAAACACAAAGTGAAGTGCAAAGTCCAACGGTGATCTTCTCCAAACTCCCAGTGGTGCGCAGGTGAGTTCCCAAAGTGACATCCAAGTGTGTGTTCTCCTCCAATAG